AAACCTCGCGATTGCTGAACAAGAAAACGACACATTCATACTCCGAAAAGCCTTGAGGAATAAACTAAACTACTGTTCACATAAACTGTTAACTAATCGAACGATATGAGTAGGCGAGGAAACATGGATTTATTGTTTGATGTTTTTGTTTCACAACAAGAGGGGACCGGTAGTGATAATAATGCTGTTCATCATGAACACGGGTCTGGTTCGACTATGGTCCGGGCCACCAGTCACCCGATTTTTGCTGGGTCCAAAAATTTTGCACCAGAATTGCCTGGGAATACAAGCACAATGATGCTAAGGTATTTGCAAAACTCGGAACCAAAATGAATTTAGAACCTGTGATTGCCATTTTCTGTAGCCTTAGTGCTACCTCCTGCACTATCGAGTTCTCTGCTTTTCCTTCCTCTGAGCCAAATTTTTTTACTCTAACGATACCTTGAGCAATGCTAGCAGTAATCACCATCCGTTGCCAAGAATGGTCTAGGAAGCATGTATCAGCATTAGACCCAGTTTAGCTTAAGCTGCAGTCGAAATTACTATGTTTGACTTTTTATTTGCTACCGACTATAATAGTCAGCATTATAGATATAGAGTATTACAGAATAATAAATGAAGCTTTTGGCTTTAATCAATCCTAGAGGATACGCTACGCATTCGGCTTCATTAAGCATCGTTGGAGGTGATTGAATGCATGTCTGGCCTTCAAGATGACTAGCGGTGGCCTACCGAAGTATCGAGCTAGTGCAGCTCTCCTCCTCCCAGACAAGTTTGGTACTAATTTGCGGACCCTGGAGGGGTGGAAGGCTCGGTGGGCCATGGGCGTGGGATCCATTTCACGTGTGTTGCAGGGCGCCTCCGACCACAGCGCCACACTCGACATGGACCATAGTAATATTTAGTAAATAGCAGTATGCAAGCATGCATAGTACACATACCTTTAAAGCGATGGAGTAAATCTCTTTTTAACACATCGTCAATGAGTTTCATGGGTGAACACGAAGCAGGGAGTTACTCATTTACAAATGTTGTTCTTTTTTTATTTTTGGCTAGACAGCTTTCGTTCGTTCCGCCTCACTCATTTAGCAGGAAAAAGTTTTGCAAAAATTTTGCATTGTAAGAGAATTAGTCACTTTTTATCCGTTCAGGACTTTTATTTATCTAAAACTGTTTATAATTTTAAGATTCAACTTTCTGAAAATTTTATGTAACAACTTCTATACTGATATACAGGTGGAGGAGGGAAGGCGGATAGCACGGTGGTAGTGATGTTGGTCATCATGAGCATAATCCTTGTTCTATTCCGCTCCGGGCCCACCAAGCCTCTCGTCTCTCCGGAGTGGGGAAATTGGTACCGGGCTTGACCGCCGAAAAAATTCACTCTCTGCAATCCATTTGAGAAGACTTCAGCCTGGCTATCTCAGGACTCTGGGGAGAATCGACTCGATGAGCATTCTACAACATTTAAAATGAAATGAAAATCCTCAAGTAGCAGCCGAAGCTACACGTAAAAGTTAGAAGATCTTGGGGGAAAATGAATGCGAGGAAACGAATCCAATGTGAGAAGTGCTGGGATCCGCAGAGTAGAAGTGAAAACGGGTCGTATAAAATAAAATGAAATAATAAAATTGATACGCATAGGTTTCGGGCTTCTGGAATAAAAATTAAAAATGGTGATTCGAGCAAGTGTTTCAGGCACGAACCCATATTTGAGAGTCAAAAAGGATCGGAAACATCTCATGATATCAACTTAGGATTTCACTACGAAACCATGTACGTTTGAATGGCACAGTGTTAGTACGAAATGATTTATGGTGCATGATGTAAGCCTTGAAGACGAACAGGGCCATAGAGATTGTTTGCTATGTAGCCACTTGAGGTGTTAATTCATGCAAATCTACAGAAAACTGCTCAATAACTTGTGAAATAACTAGATGAAGCATTTTTTGAGTTTTTCTTAACATTCACGCATTAAAAACAGCTTATTTTGCTTATGTTGCTGTGAGGCATGAAAATATGGCAACTTGCCAAGCTCTCATTAGTACCAAGTTCTGTGAAGCCCTTTGCTATGTAACATTTAAGCACTCTTAAGGAGTCAGTTCTTTAAAGGCTCAATAAAACTTCGTGTTAGATAATTGTTTAAAAAATGTTTCTGATCAGTTTTTGCATGCAAAGTTTCAAAAGTGGCTGCTACAAAGTGGCTTGGTACTTGATGCTTGAATGGCACGTCCTCACCGGTTGCGCTCCCCCCATAATCTCCATTGTTCGGAGATTTGCTGTAGTTCACTGGAATCACGAGGTCAGCCTGGTCAAAGTCTGCCTCAGGTCTTCACCACCACAAGCAGTGGCAGCCTTTGTGGATCAGAAGGAAACTTACCACCGTGCGACTTTGGTACCAAAACGGTGGTGGGTCCTGGTATTCATTGTTCCAATAACTTTCGACAATACAATATTCCTGGTATTTCTTGCCATTTGACACCCGCATAACTTACAGTGGTGAAGGAATATGCTAAAAATCACTTCCGATTGATAATAGGTATTGCCGGCTACAGCAATTCTTCACTGTCGCTACCTTCAGAGTAATACGGTATTAGGTAACCATCGTTCAGGGATTTGTCTGCTCGGTGACCAACTTAAGGCAATAAACCGTCTCTGATTGGCAAAAAAATGTGTATAGACTGAAAAGAAAAGAAGGAAAGAAAGAATGAAAAAAAGAAGGAAAGAAAGAAATAAGGAAAGAAAAGAAAGAAGGAAAGAAAAGGAAGAAAAGGAAGAAAAGAAAGAAAAGAAAGAAAACAAAGAGAAGAAAGAAAAGAAAAAAGGAAGGAAAAAAAGAAAAAAGAAAGAGAGAGAGAGATGGAGACAATTACCACTTTATACCAATGATCGCCTGGAGAACACTTATGTCGGTGCTTCTGTTAAGTGGAAAACTCAACTACGATTCCAACCAACAAAAGAAATGTGAAACTCACTGATTTACGAAGCAATGGGAAGACACAACGGATCACTCTCGACGTGCAAAATGTCACAAGTATTTTAACACCATCCCATCTGAACACGTCGTCAACTGTTTTGACAGTGTTTTAACGTTTTGTTTTCTGCCTTCTATAATTTTCATGGCAGGTTACTAAGCGAAATACAACCACAATGTTGCTGAGATATTTGCAAAACTCTGGACCGCAGGTGTCGCACCGATTTGCGCTCCCCAGATCAACCCCGCTGACGGGTGATTGCTGTGGCAAAAAGATCGATAGAAATAGCTGAGAGACGTGCGAAACAAAGGACCCGCATGGTGTGGTGGTGAACGCGTTACTCCCCGGAAAGGATAATAGCGCGTTCGTTCCCCACCATAGACACCTGCGGTCCAGAGTTTTGCAAATATCTCAGCAACATTGTGGTTGTATTTCGCTTGTGTCTCTAGAATTCAAAGGCATATCATATCCTTAATGGAAGCAGTCACCGTAAATGCGCAAAGACTCCAATTTTTAATGTTTTGTTTTCTGCCCTCTATAATTTTCATGGCAGGTTACTAAGCGAAATACAACCGCAACGTTGCTGAGATGTTTGGAAAACTCTGGACCGCAGGTGTCTATGGTGGGGAACGAACGCTGTGGCAAAACTCTTGCGGCGTTTTGGATAAATTTCAAAAAATCCAAAGATGAACCGGAATAAAGTACGTCCAGGCTCTGAGGAAGGCGAAGTCGCCGAAACGTCAGCCATCGATCAATAGCATCAAAAACAACCACAACGACAACGAAGATCTGTACCAACCTCGCGTCAGCTTAAGAAGATCAGTTTATAAGATCACATAAATAAATATCTCAGCAACGTTGTGGTTGTATTTCGCTTAGTAACCTGCCATGAAAATTATAGAAGGCAGAAAACAAACCGTTAAACATTGTGATTTCAACTACAGCCATAGCTTACCTGGGTTCTATGCCGATTTGCGCTCCCCAGATCAATCCCGCTGACGGGTGATTGTTGTGGCAAAAAGATCGATAGAAATAGCTGAGAGGCAGACGAAACAAAGGACCCGCATGGTGTGGTGGTGAACGCGTTACTCCCCGGAAAGGATAATAGCGCGTTCGTTCCCCACCATAGACACCTGCGGTCCAGAGTTTTGCAAATATCTCAGCAACGTTGTGGTTGTGTCGTTTTCTTGCTCAGCAATCGCGAGGTTTTTAAACAGCATACATTTACTTCCATAAAGAAAACACAATACAATACAACGCTAGCTGACGTTTCGGCAGTATCGCCTTCTTCAGAGCCTGGAAGGGTATGCTGATATACAATCTACTAGGCCAAACGCTTCAATAACACTTACAAAAAGATTAGGCCTAGTAGTTCGAAGATCGCTTGCATTGCGGAGTCATTCGATACGTTGGTGTACAGTGCGGTAACGTCGAAAGACTCCATCACGTACGCGTTATTGGGAGACGCGTTACGTAGACGTTCTAGGAACATTTGGGTGTTTGTGAGGTGAGCTGGAATGTGTTTAAGCAACTGGGTAAGTATCAGGCTTAAAAACCAGATTATTCTATCCGTTGGTCCGTCTACACAGCTGATGATCGGTCTAACCTTAAATGATGACGGATTAGTTGACGCATGATCATCAGGTAATACCAACTTATGTGTTTTAATAAGTAGGTATAGGAC